CAAGCTCTCTTTATCCACTGGATCCGTCCCAAATGCCCACAAACATCCAAATCTCCCCAATCCTTATAATTTTTTTCACCTTACTCCTCCAGTTTTGCTTTATCTACTTCTTAGCCAAACTCCTAGAACAAGCTGTCTATATTTATTTCTTGTCTCTTCCTATTCACTTCTCTACTCCTTGCATTCTGGCTTTTGACCTCACCCCTCAAGTTGAAACTATTAACTCCAAGATTACCAGTAATCTCTTACTTGGTAAATCTGATGGCTTTTTCTTTGATTTAATGATTGTTGATGTCTCTGTAGAATTTGACACAGTTGACTAGCCTTTATTCTTGGATATTCTTTTCTCCTTGGATTTTTATGATGTTGTTTTCTCCTGGTTCTCCTTCCACATGTTATCAACTTTTATACTTTCATTGCTGCCCGGTTACCTGACCCTTACTAATGATGAGGGCTTAAGTGTTTGCAATTTCACATTAACGCTGGCAGTCATGCACTCCAACCAATGTCAGGAGGTGCTCCCAGGAAGTAGAGTGCTGCTCTTCCTAAGCTCCATTTCTCTTGTGGGTGGAAGTGCTCACTTGGTCTAGGAATGTGATTGATGTGTATTTTTCTTCTTGGTATCCTTACTCATTTCCTACTCACCAAGAAAACTCTGTCTTTCTCTCTTATTGCTGCATTTCAATGGACTTTAATCGAAGAGTATGGCATAATAAAGTTGAGCACACAAGAATGGCTCAAATATATCATCATTACAATAGAAAGAAAAAGAATAACCAAATATAATGAAATAGCTATCATATACACTGTTTGCCCTCATTACTTCCCAGACCCAAACAGCCCTCAATCAATTTGGAGGCATGTCTATAAGCAACAAAGTCAGAATTTCCTAGTAAACATTCTGGTACACAGACTCGCCTCCTGAAGCTTAGTGGACATGTCCACCTTTTACAAGCTTTATGAGCAGTATCAGACCAAACATAATGCCAATGACTTGTCAGCTGGGACATAAATATAACCGCCAATATATAGCTGAAATGGAAATAGCAAATGATGTTCCAAGTGATGAAAAAATTGTCAAATTCATGAGTGCTGCTTCTATTAAGCTTTTCACTTTTATGGCTAACAACTTAAGTACATGTCCTGGCTTTTCTTTTGTTGTTATTACACATGGATAGGCTGAACCTGATTGGCTGACTTGGCTGAACCTGATGGAAAAAATAGAAGACTTCTGAAGTTCAGAATTCAGAAGGAATTCTGAAATTCAATTTTAATTTCTCAGAGGTAATAATTGTAGCACAAGCCTGACAACATATAATGGTAGTATTAAAAAAACACTCAATAGGTGTTAATAATAAAAGACTAACTGATATCCCATCCATGAACTGGGTAAGTATTTTTCCCTTGTCATAGACTTAGTGGAGAAGGGAGGGAAGGAAATAAGCATTTATATGGTGCCCACTATGTGCCAGACCCTGTGCTAAGCACTTTTTAAAATAAATATTATCTCATTTAATCCTTACAATAACCTTGTGAGATAGGTGCTGCTATCTGTACTTTACATTTAAGGAAACAGGCAATTAGAGGTTATTTGCACAGGGTCATATAACTAAGACAGTAGCTAGGTGGCACCTAGCTACCCTGGGTAGGTCGCTTAACCCTGTTTGTAAAATAAGCAGAAAAGGAAATGGCCAACCACTCCAATATCTTTGCCAAGAAAACCCCAAATGCGGCCACAAAGAGTTGGATATGACTGAAACAACTGAACACTAACACATCTAGGTAGTGTCAGAAGCTGGGTTTGAACTCAGGTCTTTCTGCTTCTAGGCCTGGCACTCTATCTACTATGTCATCTAGCTGCCTGCTATTTTCAAATGAACAGTTTTGAATATTTTCTAGACTCACAACTGAAAAACATATACAACAATAAAAAATTCAAATAATACATGCCTAGATTTCATAATGGCCACTTTAATATAGAAAAAAGTAGGTTTCTTAATTGTTCTACCTATTAACCTCATGCTGCAGGCCATAGGGTAAGACAATAAATGTTCAATGCAGTGTTAGACTCAGAAAATCCCAAGTAACATTAATGCCTGCTTCTTAGAGGGAAACACAAACTTTCACTTCCAATGTCCCCTTCCTCCTTGAAGGAAAAACAAAGGTCAACTACTCTCACAGGCCACCAAATACTTCCTCATTTTTCTAAAAGTAGATATGGATGCACCAAGATTAGCATTTTAGCATTATGAACTGAAGTAAAGTTAGAACTTAGAATCACAGAATATTGAATATCAGAGTTGGAAGTGACCATAGAATCTTAGAACCAAAGAATGTTAGAGTGCAAAAGCCCTTGTTATCACAGAATTTTAGAAATGGAAGGGCTCAGATAATAAAACATCAGAGCTGGAAGGGAAGTGCAAGGATTCTTTCATCTTACATGGGGAAAGTGAGGTCTTGAGAAGAAAAGTTGACAGCCCAAATCACGTAAGTTAGTGGCAAAAGCAAGGTTGGAACTGGTTTAGTGATTGTCAAATTGTCATCCTTTTCACATTGTGTCCGAGAAAGATAATTTCATCCCTTTTGCTGCTTTACCTACAGACAGCTACTTAGATGGGAGTTTTTCCTTTTCTGATGATAAAGAAAACTCCCCTGTAAGCATCTCACAGCCTTCATTTTCCTTACAGCAAGTGGTCTTTTGGGGAAAAACTCAACTAAAATACTAACTTACAGTGTATGCCAGCTACTAAGAGAGAGAATAAAATCAAGCAGGATGACTAGGGAACATGCTGATTCCAGTCCTTTCCCATCAATAAGGACTGTCAAATATACCCTTCTGAAAAAGAGATTTAACTTTATATAATTAAAAATTCTATTCAGTTGTCCTTGTTTCAGAGACATAGCAATCTGCAAGGGAGGAATAGGGCATTTTAGGAAGGTTGCACAACTTAGAAAAACTAATTCCATGCTTCCCAAAGTCTAACTCCTTCCATAATTTCAATGTGATAATAATAGCTTACATTTCTACAGCTCTTGACAGTTCACAAAGTACTTTACTCAAAACAGCCTTACCATATAGACAATATAAGGGTCATTCCCTTGTAAAAAGGAGGAAGTAGAAACTTAGAGAAACTAAATAGCTTGCTCAAGGCTGAGAAGTTAGCAAAGTCAAAATGCTAAAAATGAAAACCCAAGTCCTCTGGTTAGAGATAATTCCATATTGCTTCCTCATTGTAGTGGGAAAATCACTGAATCAGGAAGCTACATAAAAGTGTTCTAGCCTTTGCCCTGTTATTTACTGGCTGGGTGACCTCGGTTAAGTCGTTTAAGCTTCTTTGAGCCTCCAAATCACAGACTGTTAAAGGGAGAATCAGCCTCAGAAAGGATCAAGTCTAATTCCTTCATTTTACGGGTAAAGAAACTGAGCCTTGGGGTGGGGATCAAGTAGTATACCCATGGTCATACAGTCGGTTAGTTTCAGAACTGGAGCTGATCAGGGTCCTGACTCCTCAGACAGTGCTCCTTCCCAGGTACTTCATGTATAAAGTGGGGAAATCACAATAACCGTTTTTCAAGGGCTAAACGGAATAATACTATACAAATATGTTATAATTATTGTTAGTAAGTTATTATTAATTATTATTATCATCATCACCACCACCATCATCATCATCAATCATTGCCATTCCTGGTGGCACTTTCCAACTCTAAATGTGTCTTTGAATTATATTTTAAATAAAAAAATGCAGAATTTACAACAGCATATCCCATGTGACCAAGCAATTTTAAAAGGTGTGTTTGAGGGGAGGTGAGGAGAAGTGCTTTGGAGGAGGGATGGTTCTTTAAGGGAGAAAATACATATACTATTCTGTATTGGAATAACAACTTTGCCTGGATTTCTGTTTCTTCTTTCCTGTTACTCTCCTTGCTAGTAACAAGAAAGACCAGATAAACAATTCACTTCTGTGAAATCATGTTTAACACTGTAGACATCTGAAAGCCCTGACACTTTTTCTCACTCTACCATGGGGGTGAGTCACTATGTGTGTGTTTCTGTCGTGCTTTATAATCTGCTTCAGAACCCTGATTACTATGAAGAGATAAAAATGATGACCCTCAGAATGCAATATCAGTACAGTGTTACACGGTGGAAATATCACTGATTCTTTAGTCAGGGGACCTGGGTGAAGGTGTCAATTCTTCCACGAAATTGTTTTCACTAGATTGTGTAACCTTGGGTGGAAATCATTCTCTTAGCTTGCTCATATGTAAAACAGAGGGGATTGAAATAGATCTCTTACCTTGCTATAAAGTGTTTTGAGTCTTTAGATATTGAAAACATTGCTTGATTCCACAATTGTTAATTGAGTGTGCACTATATTCAGAGGATCAAATTAGGTGCTGAGGGGGTTGTAGATTGGGGTGACTAGCCTGATCTGGTACCTAAAGTACAATACTAGAACAAAATGATATACTTGTAGAAGTTCTAAGAGTGAACAAAAGGAGGTTTACTGAACCACAGTAGGGGAAGGATAATCAACTAAGGATATCTGGCAAGTACACCATATAGATTCAGCTGAGCCCAGCTCCCCTGCTTCTATGTTACTAGCTTCTGACCAATGAAGCATCAGGGAACAACAGCTGGAGCTCCTTGTGACCTTCCCACCCCCACCCCCAGGCATCTAGAAAGCCGTTTCAATAATCTGAGCCTTAGTTCCTTGGGATGGTTAAATCTCAAGGACAGTTTCAATATCTTTTAAGGAAAAACAAGCCTAACCTGCATGACATGGGATCTTAGGATACTCTTCCACCACAGAGGGAGATATAAAGATAAGGTAAGATATAGTTACTACATTCAAGAATTTTTCAGTCTAGTGCAAGAGATAATATGTGGACTCAAAGACTGTAACAAACTAGAATGTGGCAAATATTATAGGTTGTTAGTATTGGAAGGGACATTTGAGGTCATATAATCCTATAGTCATTATAAGATGAAGTACCTGAGTCCCAGAGAATCTAACTGACTTGCTTCAGGGAACATAGCAAATTGGTGGCAGAGCTGCAGCTTGAACCTGGATCTTCTAACTCCCAGTATAAGGGCCTTTTCATTGCCCCAGGCTGTTGCCCTAAACCTAAACATAAAGCAAAACTCAAATGTCAGTTTTCCCATTAAGGCTTCCATGATGGTTACCCTGCTGCTAACAACCTTCTACCCAGACCTCATATGGCACTTTAGAGAAAGTCAGAAATCTTTTTGAAAAGAATGTTACCCCAATTTGACATTTCTATGGCATGGATATGATGGTAGTTAAGACGAATTATGAAGGCTAAGCCAAGACGTTGCTAGAATTAATGGAAAGCGGTTCTGCACCTTTAAAAAGTGCCCTTCCAATTTTATACTGTATATGCTAGCAAACTGTCTTACAGGCAACATGGCCTCTAATGTGGAGCAAATGGTGGACTAGAATAGAACATCCTACCTATGCCATTCTGGGCCTCTTATAGTCTCAATTTACTCATTTGTAAAATGAGTATTATGATTCTTACACTCTCTTTCTTGTAGTAGATATTGAGAAGAAAGCATTTTGTAAACCTTACAGTGATATGTGTGTGTGCTATCATTATCAGGTTGTGTTTCTTATTCCCCTACTACACTACAACTTTCATGAAGGCAGGGAATGTCTCATCTGAACTTCATATCTCACCAGTTTATAGCACAATGCCTTGCTTATAGATGAAGCTTAATAAATATTTAATCGAAACAAATGCATAAATAATTGATGTAATGTCTCATTTTCCCGATCTATAAAATAGAGATTTAAATTTGCCTCTGCCAAATTCGTGGGATTATGGTGAAAAGGAAATAAAATAAGATCTATGGAAGCAATTTGTAAGGTACAAAATGTATACACAAACATATATAAGTCCATATATACATGCAAATAATATTATCGTTAGCATTATTCTTAAAGAATGACAAAGAAAGGGTCAGATGACCTGGGCTTCAATCTTGTCCCTCTCATATGCTGCCTATATGTGACCAGAGGCAAATCACTTCTTCCCTCTGATGATCAGTTCTTTTTTCATCTGAAAAATGAGGAAATTGGATTACATGATTGATAAGGTCCTTTCCAACTTTAAATGCTAGGGTTCTATGACATACAAGGAGAAGATAACATCAAGGGATTGGGAATAAGATGAGCAAAAGTAAGAATAGAAAAGTAGAGAGAATGCTTATGGAATAATGACTAGCCTGGTTTGTCTTGAGTGTAGGATACACGTTAGAAAGTAGTGCAAGGCTGCCATGGTAGGGTGGTACCAATTTGTAAAGAGTTTTGAATGATAGGATCATGAGTTTGGACTTTATTAAATCAACAATGGAGCTCAAAGTGGAAGGATTAGAAGGGTTGCTCTATAATAACAACAGAGCTAACAACAATACAACAAAATTAACCTACATATTTATTGAGCATCTATCTTCAAACTTGGAATTGGATTCAATCAGAATCCTTAGAAACCTTAGAATCTTGGGATTACACAAGTTTGATTTTTAAAGGAAACAGATTCATATAATATAAAATTTTAGTTCTGGAAGGGACCATAGAGATCATCTGGTTCCATTCTAGATCAGTTTTCAAACCTACCACAACATAGTACCTGAGTTTGCCAATAATCTAACCAGTAAATCCAAAGGTCTTTTTCAGTATGCATCCACTGTGATCTCTCATTTGAATTTAACACTGGTGACCACCCAGAGAAGAGAAGGCCTAATGACAGAAAGTGACGTGTTCAATATCATATTGCTAATCAGTGGCAGAGCTAGGGTTTTCTGAGTCAAAATCTAGTAGTCTTTCCATTTTTGTTATGTCATCACACACAAGCTGTGATTATTGATGTTCGTGGTTTGAGTTTTTGCTTCTGGCAAGAAATAAATAGCTTGCAGCATTTGGATGAAGGTAAAGGACAGGAAGTAAGCAAAATATTGCTTGACTAAAGTCCTTCATGCAGTGATAGTCAAAGGAATCAGAAATTACTGTAGAATGTATAGCTGGAGGAGAAAATTAGTTCAGGAGAAACAACTGAGATTGCGTTCTTATAAGCCACTGTCCTGATCTAGGTAGTTAGCCTTAAACTATATTTAACAGCATCAAGAAATCCTCTGAGTCTGGTGACTCAGTTAATGAACATTCTTAAGCTTTGCTGAGTAAGATTATTTCAGACCATGCACTGTGTTTCTTCCATAGTTGGGATACTTATACAATAAGGTATCTTGGGATCTAGGGAATTATACTACTACAATATTCTCTTGTTAAACTATTTTGTGTATGTATGTATGTGTGTATGTGTGAATTTGCGTGTGTGCGTGAGCGTGTGTGTGTGTGTGTGTGTGTGTGTGTGTGTATTATGTGTTTTTTCCCTGGGCCAGTTCCTTAAGTTCAAGAGTTTGTTTTTGTGTTGGGGGTAGATTTATATCCTCAGTACCTGGAACAAAACTATACATAAAGTCTTACATTAATGAATGTTTGCTGAAATAAATGAGCTTAGCAAAGTGGCAGGATACAAGACTGAACTACAAAATCATCTTCATTTTAATATGCCACCAATTGTGACAAAATATATCAAATATATGGACAGTAACTTATCAAGACAAACTAGAGAGCTAGAGAGATAATTAAATGATTTTTACAGAAATTAAAAAATAATTTAACAAATGGAAGGGTATATCTGGTTTATTGTTAGGTCAATCAGCCAGTCAACAAGAATTTATCAAATGCTTATTACTGGTAGGCACCTGTGCTACCTTGAATACAAATACAAGCAAAAAGAAAGATGATCTGTACCCTCAAGGAGCTTACATTCCAATGGGGAAAATGACACATAAAAGCAAAATGAAAAAGAGGGGTGAAGAAGGCACCCAACTTTGGGTTGTGATGGTGAAGTCTGGAGGAGTGTAACCTACTGGAAAATTCCTGGGCACACTTCTTAAATAGAGGTTCTAGAGACTTCTAATCAGAGGGAGGATCCCCATGGTGAGGAAAGTACTTCTGAAGTCTGAGTTTCAGCTGAAGTGATCTTCTAAAATGAAGAGGTTGCTTGGGCCTGGTGGGCAAATCTGGGGAAGTGCAATGTATTGGAAAAGGAAAGTCAAGCAGACATAATAAAAATAAAAATACTTGGAAAACTAATTTATAGATTTAATCTAGGAACAATGAAAGTACCAATAGGTTACTTCATAGAATTAGGTAAAATCATAATAAGAGTCTTATGAAAAAATAAACAGGTAAAATATCAAGTTCTATGAAAAATGATAAAGGGATATTAGATATTAAAGCATTAATTATAGTACCTAGCATTCAAAAATTGATAAATAAATTAACAGAACAGAACATGGAACTCAGAAATAGACACAAATTATTATAAAAATTAGTGTTTAGTAAATTCTCACTCAGAAACAACAACAAACCACTGTGGAACAGAATAACTAGTCAATTAAAACTTCTAGGAAAACTAGATGGTGCTATACTAAAACAATTTTTTACAAGGTTTGTATCTGTATCTTAACCGTATAACACAATAAACTCGTAATTGTATCAGTGCTTTAAAATATTTTTAAACCACAAATTAGAAAAAAGAGAATGATAAAATTTTTTTAATTCTGAAAAAGAGGCACATTTTTATCAATAAAACTAATAAATCATAATGTAATTGATGGATTTGGCTACATAAAGACAAGAGATTTGGACCACAATTTAAAAAATCCTTGAAATTGAAAGAAAACAACAGATTAAGAAGTAAATTTAATAAATAAAGCTTTGACATCCAGAATATATAAGAAACTGATACATAAGGCTATATATTCCCTAATGGACTAATAGTCAAAGGACATTGAAAGCATTTTATGCAGAAGTAAAACTGTTCATAATGTCATTTAAAAGAAATGTTCAAATTCTTTATTAGTCCTAGAAATGCACATCAAACAGCCTTAAGATACTATCTTATTCTCACTAGAATAGTAAAAAATGTATTAAAATTATAAGATCCAATTTTGCAGTGTTATGGAAGGATAGGTACTCTAATACATTATTGGTGGAACTGAAGAAAGCATTTGGTGAACAATAAGTTGTGTGAATCACAAAACTGATCATAGCTCATGACCCAGGAATTCTATTTCTGGGACTTTATCCTAAAAACATAATAAAAGGGGGAAATTACTTATTTTGTACAAAATGGTCAAAGTTGTTCTATTTGTGATACTAAAATACATTGGAAGCAACTTATATATTCAACAACTGAAGAATGATTGAAACTTTTTCTTTTGGAATCTGTGACTTCAGCACTGAGGAGAGCTCCCAACTTGGGACCACTTTCTTTCCAAGGAGATTGACAATTCTTCTGTATTTTATATTAGAGAGCTGCCTGGGGGCTCTGAGAGGGTGGTCCCTCAGCGACTGTGTGTTAGGTAGTGCTTGACTCAGGATCTTCCAGATGTCAAGGCCAGCCCCCTATCCACTATGCCCCACTGCTTCTGAATAATTGTGATTTTATAAATTATGGCATAGAGATTTAATTGAATATTGTGGTGCTATAAAATGATAAATATAGAACAAGTACTAGACCTGTCATTTCATTAGCCCGGGCAGTTCCTCAGTGAAGAAATTCTCTCTATAAATGAAGATCAACATTTTCTCTGTAACTTACATTCAGAGACAGTGTCCCAGAATACTGAGAAGGTAAGTGACTTTCCTTAGGTCAAATAGTCAGAATGTCAGAGGAAGGATTTGAAACCAGGTCTTCTTGGTTTTAAAGCAGTCTCTCCATGAACCATGCCAGCTTCCTATCCACAAAACCATGAAACATAAAAGGAAATAATGAGACATTTATGTCAGGTGATACAGAGTGGAATCAGTAGAATCAGAACTGTGTAAGCACTGATATGAAATTATACTAAAGAGAAGAAGAGGGAAGAAGATATGGAGCCATTTAAGGAGTTTTCATTTCAGAGACATTTGAACATATTACCTCTAGGATAAAATAAGATTTCCTAGGTTTGTATTTGAAATCCCTTTACAACCTGGTTCCAACTTACCTTTCCAACCTTTTTATGCATATAACCACTAGGTGGCACTAGTAAGAAAGGAAGCTGAGTTGTCAACCATCATCTGAGCCAAAGGACCTGTCTGAATGGGCTCTGGGAATTCCCTTCCTTTGTAGGCATGGAGTTTCCTTAGCAATTTGACTGTTACTGAACAACTTGAATGTCATGTATAAATTTCATCCCTTTTTCGGGAGCTGGTATCACTGGTGGCCTACCTGATATTATGTGGACAAAGCATTTGCATGGTATTAATCTTCTCTGGCCAGTTGTTTATGCTGAATCCAGAATTGAGTAGTGCTACTATCTAGCTCTGAGAAGCAGCAGCTAACTACTTGTCACTGATCAATATATATGTCAGTGGGTTGTTATCACTCCACACTTAGAATTTGGCTGCATGCATGCAGAACTTTCTAGCAACATCCAACTTCAAGGCCAAGAACTCTAGTTTACATATAGGTACCAAGTGTCACTGTCATTAAGTCTTCTACTACCAAATCTTATTGGCCTCTGAGAACCTTTATTTTCTTGGTAAAACAACACCCTGCTCCCAAGTCATCCAGGCTGGAATCTGTGTACAGAACAAATGGCTAGTTTGGATCCATACAGATTTACATTGGTGCACATGTGAGGTAAGAATATTCATCCATCCATCATTCCCTTCTTGGTTTTGTAGGCTTTAGAGGAATTTGCATTTTCTTTTCCTTCTATCTCTTTAATCACGTGTTGCATGAGCAGAGTCATTTAGTTGAAATATAGCAGCAACATTCTTAATGAATCTGTGATAGCAGCCAAATCCTAGAATAGTCCTTAAATCTAAAAAGTTCTATGAATATAGCAAATTTAGGGTCACTTTTATCTTTTCTGGTTGGTTCTCGTACCTTGTTTAGATATTATGTGACGCACTTTGTCAATCACAAGTTTCAGAACAGCTTCTTCTAGCTGATCTAACACTTTCAAAAGAATTTCCTTTTAGTCTTCCAAAAGAAAGTGAAGGACTCTACCCTAATCCTGCTCTCTCCTTCAGTCCCATAGCTCCTCTCCGGAGGATCCAGAATCTCTAGGTCAGTGACCATCTGGTGGGTTCCTTGTTAGGGCTTCTCAGAGCCCACCTCCTCCAGAAAGATCTCTTCACTTTTAACTACCAGCTCCATTAGCTGCCCTTTGGCTTTAATTGCATGGTTCCTGAAAGTTGAAAGCTCTATCTTTATCTTCTGAATGTGCCAGCTCAGTGTACTTTTGGTTAGAGTAATGGAGCTGTAGTTCCTTATATGGCAGTCCAGAATCCACTATTCCCATACATCAAAGTCTTCCACAAAATAACTAAACTCTCTTGCCTAATCCCCAGGTTACCATTCCCTTTAGTCCTGTCTCTGTAGCAATTCTTGTCCCAGGAACACCCTCAGTCCCAGTGTACCTGTGATTTGACTGTCCTCTGTGACAATACCTTGCCCTCCTCCCCCACCAAAGGAAAAGTGTTTTTTTTTTTTTTTGCCACAGGTGAAAAAAAATTATAGTTATGTCTCTGCATAAAACACATATAGCTACACTGGTACTGAAGCATTTCATCTTAGTTTCTCATCTATAAATTTAGAACAGTAATAATACTTGTACTACCTACTTCACATTGTTGTTGTAAGGAAAACTGATGGTAAACTATAAAGCACTATTTAAGAATGAAATACTATCAGTATATTTATGAATATCTTCATTTTCATGAATTTCTATCTCCTTTCATGTCTGCTATGACTTGATTTCATTATTCTAATAAGATGCCACTTTTTGGCACCCTTAAAATGAAATAGAGGAGTCATCTATCTGTACTTCAGCACAAATTCACAGAGTTATGTTCCAAATATCACCATTTATGAATTTCAGTAAAAGGGAAATAGTCCTTTCTGAAGCTATATTAAATGGGATTAGATAAACTTCAAGTACCATTGTCCAAACTAAGGGAGACCTGTTTACTTCATTTGGAAAATAAATTAGAAAAAGAAATATTCTGAACCCTGCAGGTGTAATTTTGAAATAACATTTGCCAAAAATAAAACTTTAATAGTATATTGATTGTCTATTTTATAACATTATTACTGACCTCCAGACCTTCTTTAGGGAAGCACAAATCCACTATTTGTTTCACATGGGTAGGTATTTACATGACAGCATGAAATGAAGGATTATCTGACAGATGGCAACTAACTTTTGTATCTCTCTTACATACAAAATGATGTCATAATACCTCAGAAATTAAGCAAAACAAAACAGATTTTACTGAGAGGAGAGCATTGGAATAAACCACTTTGAGAACCTATGGAGATCCTATCCCAGGGAAATTGCCCATTTTTTGAAAGTGAGGAAGATAATTCCAACTCAGAGACTAGAGAAGAAACCAGGTCTTGAGTTGTCTTTCATTGTTATTCAACAACATTCAGAAGAGTCTGTGGGGCACAGCGTCCAAGAGCTAGAAGAGGGACTCAAAACAAATAAATCTGAGAATATCAGACTCTAGAAGACCTAGATTTGGGTGCTGCCTCTCACATATACTGGATGTGTGACTCTCAGCAAGTCACTCAACTTTTCAGAGCCCCATACAACTTTCTGAGATTGTCAGTTGGCAAAGCAGTTGTGAAACTGACTGGACAGGGGTAGTTTCCTTATCAGGAACTTCTTATATCAAGGACATCACAGGTCCATCCCAAATAAGAAAAATCCAACAAAGATTTACCTTCTATGTGATTTGCTCTCCTATGGGTTGGGAAAGAATATGGTCCACACCCTCAATGAAACACATTGAACAGTTCTTTTTAAGTCAAGCGATCAGTTCTAGGTTCATTTTATGAAGTTCCCTCATCTGTTTTGGCTGTATCCATTCACTCTTGTTAAAGGAGAAAATAAAATCTCAAAATAAAGTCTTGTCTACGTACATTTCCAAGTATGGAATCAGAACCCTGGGGCTCTCACATTTTGTTGTGCATTCTAGAGAGCTTGACATCACCACAAAGGCCTATAGATAGAGAAGGTTTTGCTAACCTAAAGAAGCTATGGGGAAAGTTTTCCCATAAGAAAGTTTGCTGTCCCTGAGGAGGACAACGGACACGTTCCTAGGTTGTTTGAATCACAACTGTGTCTCACTAACTGTCCTAATGTTAAACCTCTCTCTCCAGCATTTCACTACCTAACCCATTCATTTTTCAACACTGCACAACCTTCAATTTATCCTTTGTTTTCTCAATCCCTTTGTAAGATTATATGACTATATAATAAATAAAATAGATTATAAGATTACATAAATACACAAATTTTTTGGACTCCTCCTTGTTGGAGAATGTGGTTGTGTGACCTGCTTGCATGACCATTGCCTAATTTTCCCCTTGTGTATGTATGTAATGAACATGTCCCGGTTAAATCAGAAAAATGTATACTACTGAATTAGTTATTCAATGATTTTGATGCTATGGCTTAACCTCTTATTGAAGCTGCCTGAATTGGGGGAAAAAAAGATAAAAAGTTTTGCTTTTACAATACATTCCTTTGAAAAGGATCCTGACAAATGAATGTTTAATTTTCCTTATCTTTATCAATCTGCTTATTGTGAAATACTTGGGAATCTTGCCAACTGCTCTTATCCAAAAATGGATTTGTCCAGGGTTTCAAGGAGATTGCTAAGTGACAGTGGTTAGAATGCTGAATTAGGAGTTGGAAAGGTATTAGTTCAAATCCTGTCTTAGGGAGGTGGAGTCAAGATGGCAAAGTGAGAGCTAGCAACTTTACCTCAAATCCCTCCAAACCTTTTCTAGGATGACTTAGAGAATGTTCCAAACTGAATTTTGAGGAGGAAAGCAACAAACAAACAAACAAACGAAAGTAACAGTGAGTCATTTTTTCCAGCCCAGGACAGCTTAAGAATATAAACAGGGAAATCTCCAGACACTGGAGTGGTGGTCATCCAGGAACACAGGGGAGCTGAAGAAGTAGTACTGGGCAGTAGCAGAGGCAGTAGAGGTGTGGAGAAGTCAATGACTCAGGGATGGTAAGGCAGCAGAAAGAGATCCCCAAGCACAGCAGTATTAGCATTGGGAGCACAAATATGTCCTATCTAGTAGTCCTGTCACCCATTACCCAGTTCTAGGCCACAGTTCCAGGCAGAGAAGAACAGTCATGGTTGTGAGAGAGCAGGGTCCCTGCCTGATTAAGGAGCATTGCACAAACGAGGAGGGCAATGAACAGAGCTCTTCCTGCATCGCATCATGTTTTAAAAGCACCAGAAACTTATAGGGCCCCACACTGAGTTGTGGAAGCAGCAGAAAGTCATAAAAGACAGGAGCATGGGGTAGTTATACCCACCCCCAAACCCCTCAGGTGAACAGAGCCCAGCTCTGACATAAAATCCAAAGTCAAGAAATAGACTGAAAAAATGAGCTAACAAAAAGAACCTGACCACAAATTGTGCATCAGGCATTTATTAGCAATATGCTGGGGAAGATACAACTTCTCTTTCTGCCCCGTTTCCTTATCTATTCATCACAGGAATGTTGTGAGAATAAAATGAGATATAGTATATAAAGTGTTTCGCAAAACTTAAGGTGCTCTATAAATACTAGTTGTTATTGTTGGTGTTGTTGTTCTGCAGATAATTCCTCCAGTCTCTAGGGAGAAAGTCCTGGTTCAGACTATCCTTCATTCCCGGGAAGAATTTCTGGTTAAAGAGAGCATCTAGTGTCAGTACCTGTTTTGTTTGGGGTTAATGGTAAAATCTTGGAAAACAATAGTTCTGTCCAACCTTAGTTTAAAGATATCAAGCTTTTCTTTAGACAAAACTTGTTAGATTTGATTGTTTCTAGGTAAAAAAACAGTGAGGTTCTTCTGTTAGACATGACCAATTAAGTATAAAGTGTTTTTTTTCTCCTGGTCCTGGTAACCTGCTGTTTGTCTACCTGTAATATCTACTGCTGGTTTTAAAAAGGAACTTTGATTTTAAGGAGGAGAAAGTGTGAGATGGTTTGTGGAAAACCAATGGCTGGCTCTTTCAGACTCTGAGACCTAAACATGCTCAGACTCTGGAGGGAGTGGATGGATAGCTGAAAGCGTCATGCTGAGGGTGGGATGCTCTCCCTGTCATTTCCTTCGGTACCCATTCTCTTTAGACAGATAACTGGACTTTGCCTATACCTGAATGCTCTTGGCTTCTCTTTTTGTAGACGCATAAATGATGCTGACCTTGTCTGGGACTGGCATGTGATTGACCATCTCAGGCCTCTCCATGATCTCAGTAGCATCTATTTTGTTTTGCCTATGTGCTATCCTGTGTGATAGTCATATTCCAGCTTTTGTCATTGCTATGAACGAAATTCCAGATTTAAAATGTTGTTTTCTTGCCTTACCTGCTTTTAAAACAAAGACATATATTTAAAATTATTTGTAACTAGAAGGTGTTTGTAATAGTTGAAGACATAACAGATAACACTGATACAGTAATTTATGTTTACTCGTTTGATCTTCACAACAACCCTGTGAGGTAGTTGCTACTAGAGATATTGCCATTTTAGAGATAAGGAAATCAAGGCTCAGGGGATTAAGTGACTTATGTGGCAGCTATTGTCTGAGGAAGGATTTGAACACAAATCTTCTTATACTCTTTGCATACCCCAGTCCTATATTCTGTTCACTAGGCCACCTAGAAGTTTCCTTCAGCAAGGCTACTTCTTTCAGGTTCCAGGAGTGTCTTTCTTTCTTTCTTTCTTTCTTTCTTTCTTTCTTTCTTTCTTTCTTTCTTTCTTTCTTTCTTTCTTTCTTTCTTTCTTTCTTTCTTTCTTTTTCTTTCTTTCTTTCTTTCTTTCTTTCTTTCCTTCTTTCTTTCTTTCTTTCTTTCTTTCTTTCTTTCTTTCTTTCTTTCTTTCTTCATTCATTCATTTATTTATTTTCTTACTTATGGCAATTGGGGTTAAGTGACTTGCCCAGGGTCACACAGCTAGTAAGTGTCAAATGTTTGATCTGAGGTCACATTTGAACTCAGGTCCTCCTGACTTCAGGGCTGGTGCTCTATCCACTGTGCCACCTAGCTGCCCCACCAGGGCTGTCTTTAAATAAGCTACAGGAACAGAAAGTGACCTGGCAACAGTTCATCTGTTGGGGAATGGGTATTATTTTTTCTTAAACAGAAAAGTTAAATCTCTGTGGCAAAGGAAAAAAGAGACTGCACTCAAATAATTAATACTAAGAGCCTGCCAGAGTAAAATTGGAATGGATCCCAGAGGGAATTTTTTTTTTAAATGAGCTAGCAGGTATGGTCCTGATTTTATTATTAAGGACTAAATCCTGGCAAGAGTTTGTTGGTTTTACTTTCGTACATCTATATCTATATCTATCTATATAATATATAGATATAAATTAATCCTTAGGTATAAAAAGGTTATACTCACACATTCACATCAATCCATTCACACACACACACACACACAGAGGTTGTATATATTAATCTTTTTGTAAATATATAAGGCATATGTGTGTGTGTGTGTGTGTGTGTGTGTGTGTGTGTGAAAATGGTTAAAATTGGAGTCAGTTTAAAAACAAAATGGGACTTTTCCCAATTTGAGTAGAGACTTTTTTCTTTGATCTGGCCAATCAGGTGACAGGGAAAAAACCTTACTAATTATAATAGGAACAAAAGTGAATTTATGCTGACTTTAATGGTAAGGAATCTCTGAGTTTGCAACAGATTGTTAAATTGGACATTTTAGAAATTTAACATTTGCAACATCCATTGTTCCTTTATTCCTTCATATTCTCTCTCTCTCTCTCTCTCTCTCTCTCTCTCTCTCTCTCTCTCTCTCTCACACACACACACACACACACACACAATCCACACACCACACATACATCTATATTGTGTTATCCAAGAGGTCCCTAAGGCCCTGTACTGACTTTATTTATCTTCCATGCTTCAGTGAGGAATGGTAGGTTTATGTGTCCTGGAAAATGTTTTAAATTAACTTCCTCCCAGTAGCTATTGCTAACTCTTAGCAACTACTGCTATTGAAAGGAGGAAGTATTTTTACAAGATCAATGCTTCATTTTGGGAGAAAGCAAAAATTGTCCATTGGAGCCAGTTTGAATAAATTATTTGGTTGAATTGAATTATTTGGCAAAGAATTTTGCATAGATCTATTTGTC